AACTTTTCAAATATTGGCGTTGATAAACTATTTAATACTTTTTTTATTGAGATAATAAAATAATTTTCACATTTAGTATTATTTTACAAGAAAGGCAATTTATTTTAACGATTGTATGACATTTGACAACTGTCAACTAACTTAAAACTAACTTCAGCCCGTGACTAAAGCGCCATAAAGCCACAACTTGTCAATGTGTATTTAAAAGGTCACTTAGTGTCATGGAAACAGGTACGATAAAGGGCGTTTTAAAGGTGGAGTGGAAAATATATTTAATCAAATTGTTTAGCAAAAAGTAAGGAATCAGCCTCACCAAAAATGTTTTACCAATAAAAGGCAGAAACTAATGACAAAATAAATCAAATAATAACCCCAATAAGTGCTAGATAAATAATATTGGATTGTGTGGTATTATCTGGAGTAAACCGTCGCATTCGTGGATTTAATTGTTCCGGAAGGTTTAGTGCTGCCTGAAAGTCGATTCAGCTTCCGTAACAATGTAATGCTTGGACCGAAGGAGGAATATCGGGGTCGTCCGCAATGCGCCTTTAAAGGCGCCTTCCCGTACAATCCCTCCTGCCTGTCCCCCCTCCTCACACGTCCAACTAATGTTATTAACTAAACTATCCCTTTAGTACCGCTTGCTGCGATACGCGAGGCCGTTCTTTTACTTTTTCTTAGACTGTTCAGACCGATGCTTAAATTAATTAGATACGTTACGGTCTAAAAGTACATGTATATTTTATGATGTTTTTTTTTCAAAATTATAGATTAAGATGACTTTACGTAAACCCATTATTTTTAACGAATAAAAAGTAATTAATTATAATTATTAAAAATACCTTAAACAATAAAACAACCTTAATATCTTTAAACAATAAAATACCAAAACCCTTAATGGCTTTTAAATTATAAAAATAATGGGTACATAAAAACCTTAATCTTAAACCAAAAATAATGGGTCGTATTAAGAAAATTTATATTTAATTAAACCATGTAATTGAATATAAATCCTTCAGGGAAAAAAGGTCAGGAAAAATAAATTTTATTTTCTTAACTGCAGTAGCGGTTTAATATTTAAAAATTTCTGCATAATAATTGGTATAAGCCACTAGGGCACTTAAACTTTTTAAATTGCTTTGCTTGTGTAATTATTTTCTGCAATCTCAACCTCGATGTTTACCAAAGATGTTTCTTACCGTTAATATATTTTTATTTCAAATAAAACGTTTTTTATTTATTTGTATCATTTAACAAAAAAGACAATGTTGTTTGTGCAATAAAACAAAATATATAAAAGTATTAAAGCGACAAATTGGATAATTCATTATAGGATATTTACATAATGCTGTTATATACTCCCAGATAATACTTAAAAATGATAAAAATTCCTTGCACAGCTCTGGACAACAGCCAATGCCAAAAAGAGGATTTGACCTTAAAAGTAGGTTTTTATATCCTGGAATATATTTGGAGTCGTAAACATGTAAATATCTCCATGTATAAGCATTTTTATATTTAGTTTTAATAATTCAAGAAACGTTACAGTACCTACACAATTTTTTAATAAATATAACAAAAAAAGTAGTTTGTCTTGATAAAGTAAAGATGCTTCTTTCAGTAATAGCATTTGCATTAATTATAAACTTTATAATATAAAGTAAATTTACGTTATGTTTGTAAAAATAACACTCTTCCAGATGCAGAAAAGCATTGATAAATATATTTATTATTATTTGTCCAAAACAACAGTTCTATACCGTTTACAAAAACGTGTTGTGGGTCAAAATTTATTTAGGGGCCAATTCCCAAAAATAAAAGTTAAAAAATAAAAGTCGGTGTATTTAAAAAAACCCCAATTTTTTTAGTTGGTACAGGTTTCTTCTACCAAATTTTGTATGTGTCCGCACTGGATATGTAGGTTTCTGAATTTCCGGCATCTTCCTTAAGCAACCTTTTTTAACGCCGGTCACACGTTCAAATCATAGATTATTTGTAAAACGTAATAACGAAATAAAAAAATATTTATATTTATTATGAACGCATATATTGATGTAAATAAATAAATAAATAAAATACTTTTATATTTAGCAATAATTATAATTATAATTATAATTATTAATAAGAAATTTGAAGAATATTAAAAATAGGCCATGTGACCGTTGTTACGACACAAAAACATACGCATGAACTAATTTTTTCATAATTTGAGGAAAAATTAAGTAAATTTAATGAAAACTTACCTACCGAAGACTCATATTAGCGCCTCTGGCGGCAAAAATGTGAGCGTATATGGAGTGCTACCGGCGTTACGCACAATCTGGGGGACACAGCTTTAAGGCACTACCGAAACTTTGATATTGTAAAGAGGAGTATAAGAAAAATTGATTAAAAAATGACGTAACTGTTTCTATATCGTAAATTATTTAAATATTTATTTTCAACTTTGGACAGTAAAATGCAACAGATTTAACATAATAAACAGACGACAGGGACATGTGACCGGCGTTACATTTTGTCATTTTAAACTTCGTTACTTTATATTTTTTTATACAATAGCTACCGTACTTTGTTTTTTACTGGAAAATATGTGCCTTTACACAGGAATGGTATGTGTAACCAGGTAATGCTTGAAAAAAAAAAATTTTGCCAGGGACTGAAATTGGCCTGTAAATAAATTTTGACCCTTGTAGTATTAATGAAACCTAATGGTATTATTTATAGAAATTTTGTAAATTTTACAAATCCCTTTTCGTTTAAAATAAAACTTTTGTTATAATATTAATAAAATGTATGCAAATTTCACAACAAATTAATTGTTAATTCAATAAACTATTTTCGTAAGTAATATCATAAGGGCATTTAATTTTTCCGAAAAGAATCGAAAAAACACGTTGCTAAGTAATATTTTAACAAAAAGCATGAGTGCTGGTGGCAACAAAAATCCGAGTCGAAGAGGAGGATTTTTGCACCTGCACGAATGCATTTTGTTAAAAAATATTACTTAGCATTGTGTTTTTTCGATTTTTTTCACAGGAAAAATTAGATGCCCGAATGGTATTTGACAAGACTATTTCATGAGTAACAGTTAACAATTAAAATATAAATTGCAATTTTTGGTGACAACAGCTGTCAAGTTTTGCCGCGGGTAAACTCGAATAAAGTGCTGACAGGTGCTGTCACACAGTTTTTTCACCTAAAAACCATTTGTAATTCAAAATTGCGCGTTTGTGATTGGTGGAAATTAAGACGAGGGAAATAGTCATTTTAATAATAATAATAATAATAATAATAATAATAATAATAATAATAATAATAATAATAATAATAATAATAATAATAATAATAATAATAATAATAATAATAATAATAATAATAATAACAATAATAATAATAATGCTTTATTCGTGTTTACATACAATAAGTATTTACACTCGTCACAAAAAATATAATACATGATAATAATAAAAAAATGAGACTAACTAATTAGCATTTACATAAAATACCTTATAAGTATAATAAATATAAGAAAAAAAACATAATACTTTATTTGCATACAACAGTACAATATACCTAAAGGTAATAAAAAACCAATTAATACAAAAAAATACAAAAAAATTCATAACATATCATTATCCAGAAACTCCTGAAGGTTATAAAAGGCTTTTTCAATTAAATAAAATTTTATGAAATTACAAAATGATTTTAACGGCATTTCTTTAACATGCTTGGGTAATTTGTTATAACACATAGGTCCCCAATAGGTTATTGAATTTTTAGTTCGTTTTAATCGATGAAACTCAATATGTAAGTTTTCATTATTTCTGGTATTTATATTATGCACTTGATTTCGGGTGGAGTAGTCCGATATGTTTTTTTTCATATGTAATAGACAATTGTATATAGGTATAGACACATGGTAAAGTCAACACTCTTAGTTTTATAAAAGAGGATCGAACGTCATCTCGGTATTTAATATTATCTATAATGCGTATGGCTTTACGTTGAATTTTAAAAACACGTAAGGCCGTGGCTGCGTGTCCCCATACTAGAATGGCATAAGACATTTTTGCATGCAGTTAGTAATACTGTCTGTGATACAATAAATTTAAGATTGCGTAACAATGCTCCCATTTTCAACCTACTTTGGGTGTTGGGTAATTTTTTAAAATAATTGCAAGGCATTAAAACAAATTATTTTAAAAAAATTACTCATATTATATACAAAATAAAAAAATATGGACTCACTTTTTAAACAACAAGTCTGCTTCGTTTATAGAATATACCTTAAATATTTCTTTTAGAAAACGTCGAAATTTTAATTTTCTTAGTGATCTTTTTGATATTTTTATCGGGCTAGATTTTACCACACTTCACTCGCAAGTGAAATAAATAAGATTATAACACAGACTGGATTATAAAGTTATGTTCACCAAGGAGAGCGCTGGCCCTTTCCCTTTAAGGGAAATAACAAAAATTTTGTTACCATTGCAAAAAATAGTAAATATTAAAAAAGTCTTCTTATAGTAATACAATATTTTTGTTATTGTTCTTAACGTAAACTATTAACAAAGATTTTCTAACTGAAATAAAATTAATTTGAATTACAACGATAATAATTTAAAAAATATAAATATGCCATAGTAAAATGAACAAATTTTACTATAACAACTGCGCATTACTTTATGTAAGCGCAATTCACACACAACTAAGTTCGACAAAGATTTAATATAACAAATATAAGTATTTCTTATTGCAATGACAATATTATAACAACTATTACTTTGTTGGATGAAATTTTTTTTATAAAAGCTCAACATTGCTGCTTCATTATAGTAAATGAGAATTTTATTAAAAGTAAAAAAAGTTTATTCTGTAAATAAAAATAATCTCATTACTTTGACAAATCATAGGTTTTATATTTATTTAAAATTATTATAAATATACTAATACATAGCAGTTAGTATCATGAATACAAGTATAACAATAAGTAAACATTTTTAAACGATATCTGTATCATAATGATCTCTGTGCTGCATCCTTTTTGCATTATAGGTGAGCTTATACGGTACTTGTCCGATTTGAAATGCCAATAATACAGAAGTTGGTCCATACAAAACCCGTTTTTTTGAAACATTAAACAATCTTTTAAAACATCGCCTTCTTTTTTTCTGTTTGATTCCCATTGCCATTTGGTGATTTCGAGATTCCAGCTCGGTACGTAATATCCCCAACGCAGAAATAATGGAAAATAATATAAGAAAAATGATTAAGGCAAACACAAACGTAACTAAAAATGTATATAATTGCCAGAAGAGGTGGGCACTTCCATTTGGATTCATTATGCCAAAATTTTCCCCAGATGCAAATAAAGCAGTGCATATGTGACCCAGTAAACCGCAAACAAAATGAACTGCGACCACATTACACGGGTCCTCATAGGCACTCTCGTGTAAACCCAGTGCAACCGAAAAATATAACCCTGTGCTCATAATGGATATAAAAAAGCAGGATAATGGGGTCATTATGTCCACTCCACCGCATATGGCCACCATACTGGCCACACCTGCTTGGAAAGACCTGGTGAAGTTTAGGTAGCAAAAAATGTAACCTTTGAATACCAAAATGTGTAATATAGAAATTAGCAAGAAGGAAGTGCCCAGTGCTATCAGATTGTTGAATAATATTAGACCTCCAACGCCTCCTCCTGCATGCCTTTGATCATAATAAATAGTGGGCAATTCAAAAATAATTATGCCCGCCATTAAAAAAGAATATCCAACTAATATTTTGTTGATTGAATCTAGTCCAATAGATAGGGGATCTATGGATCTCACGACCAGAATTCGTCTGCTTAGAAATATAATTCCCAAAGCGCTTACTAGAGCAGACGTTAAATGAATCTCAAGTATGTTGCCGTGGTCTTTTAGGGAAACCAATTGGCCACTCCATTTCTTATGGCTGAAAAAGCCCTTTTCACTACTCCAATGGGCAATCAATGGTGAAATCAATCCAGAATAAACAAATGTCAGAACACCTAAACCTATGAAGTGCATTCTTGCCGATAAATTAGTACATATTATACCAGAACCCATCAACGCTGTCAAAAATCCTAGAAAAATTATTTTATTTAACTCTTTTCTGGATACTCATTTAGTTAAACACTCGCTCGCAAGCTCGCTAGTGCCTAATTAAAATGGCGTTTATCAAACTTGATATGTAGGTACTACATAATATACTATTATCAAAAAATTGTCAGTACTTAGTAATCAGTAAGTAATCATAAACAATAAAATTGATGTATCAAGAATGAAATTTTCACTAGTAATACCACTAGAGGTCAAATTATTTCCGGAAATTTTTTCGAGCTCATGAATATTTTGAAAATTATCCCGAGTCGAAGACGAGGGATAATTTTCTAAAAATATTCATGAGGGAGAAAAAAATTCCGGATTTAATTTGACCTCGTGTGGTATTCGGTAAGAAAATTCCACACCAAATTGTGTTTAAATAATTAATAGTATATTACACTACAAGGGCAGAAAGTGTGAGATTCCTGCACTGCGCGCCATGATGCCCGAGGCGAAGCCGAGGGCATCATGGCGCGCAGTTCAGGACTCTCACACTTTCTGCCCGTGTAGTGTATACTATTTTTCTTGCTACCCCGCAGAAAATACGGGAAAAAATTAAATGTATATAAAAAAACTTGTGTCAAAATTAAAATCTGACGTTTAATTTAATTCTGACGTTTACATTCAAAATCAATCAAACTGTAGCGTTGTCATGGTAATTCAGCGGTGCCAATACAGTAAAAATAAAAGGTTGTATTTTAATTAACAAATTACTACTTTATAACAAATAAAAGTACCATTAAACACTTAAAACAACATAAAAAGTAAAAAAGTAAAAACATAAATTGTTTATTTGTTGTTATAATTGCAAAATTATGGTTTAAAACTGTCATATTTTTGTGTTTCTCATGTTGGCAGTACGAAATTTGAATGTTAAGCACACGACTAAAAAATTTTTACTCCCGCTATTAGAGTGTGCGCGTATAGCTTGACCAATGCAAGAAACGTAAACTTTCTGCCGTGAAATCGGGGACGAAACAACGTATTTTGAGTCGAGGTAGTAAGAAAAATTTATTTTTTGATTTAACTTGACCTCGACTTGATTATTTAGTTACCATGGCAACTAAGTCAATCCCAACCTAAAAGTTATTTCAATTTTGGAGCTGTCAAGCGGCACGACGTAAAAAAATGTGAAATTGCCTGCTGTAATGATCAATCATCGTGCAATGACTTATTTACCCGCATTATTAGAGGATTGTGGCTCCTTCTTGAAGAAAGAAAATTTGTTTTGAATTGTTCACGAATATTTGCATCTTAACTATTCAAAACTCAAAGTGCTAAATGGAAAAAAAGGTGAATAGAATAGTGTCTAAATATTATATATATTTCATTAGACATAGACATTTAATTTATTTCAATTCCTGCATTTTCGCCATTAAGAAGAAAGGAGGTGTCCAACGAATATAGAAAACATCTAAACTTTGTAATGGAAATGTATCAAAATTATCATGTAAACAAATAAAAACCAGATTGTCAAAAAAATATTCTGTCATTATAAACGTCAAAAAATTTCCAGTATAATTCGCTGTTGGGTACCCACGAGGAAAAAAATTCCACTAAAATTCAACCGTTGCCATGGTGATCTATCAAAAATACACGTTTTGATTGGTTAAAAATTACAGGTGTGGAATTTTCCAAGAAATGTATTTTTTTCTCTTTGTAACATCCTCTAACTGTGGATATTAAGATTATTCTAGCAGTTTATAATTTATCAATTGTTTAGATAGTTTGAGTTAATATCAAAAAATATAAAGGGACTTCAATTTCTAAGTTAGTTACCTTCATAGGAATAATTTAACCACTTAATATCGTTTAACCATGTTCCATACCCGCAAAATCCATGCCAAGAGTGCTTTATTGAAGCTATCGTAAACCCAATAAATGCATACGATATTAAACAAACCCCAACATCAAGTATATGTTTCAAAAGAATAAAATAAATGTTTTGGATCGGTATACATCCTGTTTGAATTAAAATCAACCCAAATCTAAAGAATATAACTAAAAATATTAAGTAATAATTTTTTACACTGTTGAAATGTTTTCTCACCAAAGATAACTTTTAAAATAGGAGATGTATTTTCGGAGCTATTAATAACTTCTTGGAAGGTTGAGTTGAAAATTTCATCGAAAGTAATTTCTTCATTTTCGAAAGTTACATTCAAAAATAGATCGTCTGACATTTTTATTTTGACAATATTTATTTGGGCAGTATCACAATCTCATAAACTTAGACAAGGTGGGAATAAACCAAACAATTTTTGACAACAAATGTTATGAGCTGTCTGTTGTCTGTTATTTTTTCAAAGCCCGAAAATGGCACATGGCTACAAGCATTGTTAAGAGCATTTAGGACACAGAACGCGCTAGTCTAAGTCTAATAGTTTCTGCAAACATCATGCCACCAACAAGCCGGCAATGCTCGAGCATGAGAGTGCCCTCTTTGTTGAAATAAACCCGGGAGCTTTAGCGCGAAGTTATGGGCCAGCAAAACTTTGCCTATTATTAGTAATATGCATGCAGCGGTGTTAAGAAGCACCTAATTGCCTGTGTCTTGGTGTAAGTTTTAGCAGTTCCGGGGCCTTGGTGTACGACCGGAATTCAATACTCGAACCATGTGGAATTCATCAGCATATTGGTCGTTTCATGAATTATGCATAAATCGTACATAGTTTGAATAGTTTGCCCATTTATAAACTATAGTCTAAGTCTTGAATACCTTTAAGGGCATTTAGAAGTTTTGTATCTCTTAAAAACCTAAAGTTAAGGTAAAAACATTAATTTGTGTCGTTTAAAATAAGAGAGATATTGGTATTTAAAGTGACAAAAGAGTCAACGGAAATACCAAACACCCTGTATAAAATTTTCAAATAATATTAATGGCTTTCGATAGAGTGCTCCTTATTTAACAGGAATAAAAAAAATTAACTTTTTATCATTACACGATGAAGATCAAAATTTTTTTTTGCTTAAATTGACTTTTGGTTGGATTTTTAAAATGTTTAGAGTTTTGTTTACTTACATTTTAGACAGACAGTGCACTTTTTATTTTTTTTCCGTTTTTTCAGAAAAATGTGTTTAGCTAGCTTTATTACCAATTTGAAATCAAAAACTTAATTCAATAAAAAAAGTTGTTATAAAAATAATTTGAAATAAAATGTAATTAGTTCACAAACTTTTGACTCCAATTTTGTATTTTATTTTTTATTGAAAATTGTATGCTTTTTTTAAATATGTATGTTCGTTAAGTTACTTTTTAAAAGAAACCATTCCGATTCTTTGTTAAAAAAACAATACCACTAATATTTTCTTTTAGTCACTGTATTAGTGAGTTAAACTCTAATTTATAAACACGTATTACCAAGTGATAGTGTATAAAAATCATTTTAAGTATTTTTTTTTAACAAAAAAAAGTAACGAAATAGACATTGGTATCACAACGGACTGGGGTACACAAATGACTTAATCAGATAAAGTAAAAAAGAAACTATAAAGGGTGGTACGATTTTAGAGTAATGCATTAACAAAATCCCTTGTAGAGGTGTTCACTTGCAGAATAACAACTTAGATTTCTAAATTGTAGACTCCCTTTTTCTTTGATATATAAGCTGGTGAAGGTCACTTTTAGTACTTGTTTATTGCGTGGAATTTTTCCTTGGATATAATCTATATCATGAGTTGTAATCACAAATAATTTTAAATTGGTTTATCATAAACTACTTTTAATAAAAGCGACGGTAAATATCCACTTGGTTGCGTTAAGGTAACATAATGGACACGGTAACGCAGTGGACAAAGTTTTGTGAAACCATATTTAAAAAATAATAATAAGACATTACAGTCATTAATTACTCTCATTGAGCTTTAGTGCACTAAAATAAACATAAACATGAAAAATAGTATTTTGCCTTACCTTATTTTTATTATTTTTTTGAGACAAACAATTATTACATTCGCGTTACCCGCACCTGTTTTAACCGATATCTTTTCCTGGTTGAATAAATAAATTCAGCTGGGTAATGTGTGCGTCCGAACATCATTTGTTGATCACGTGATTGCCAAAAAATTGCCATTTATATGTTTTTTTTAATATTCTATCGGTAACGCGACGGACGTAACGCAACGGAAAAAATGTCTGGGACATGAGTCAAATTTAAAAAAAATAGATTAAAATTAATTATTTTATATATAAATTGTTTACTGTATTAACTAAGGATGTTATGGATTGCTATAAAGCAACACAAAGTTCTGGTTATTCAATATTTAAAAAAAACATGTAAGTTTTATAAAACGCTAATGGGACATGCCAAAATGTGTGTTTCACAAGTTTCAAAATTAAAAAAAAAATTATTATGAAATAACTAAACAAACATTTTCTGAAAGAGTTTACTAAGGGCTTGTTAGGCTTTCACTTGGTTGTTAAATCAATAAGATCCGATAATTTTTAACAAAGTTAATGGAATTCAAACTTACGGACAGCGGAAGGCGGGTGTTTTTTGAAAACGACCCATATGTTTCCATTTGAAAAACAACCTACATTTTACATTTTAAATTTGTAAAAAATAGTCTGGCATTAGTCAAAACTCAGTGGAGATGTTTTTGTGGTAAATCCTTGAATTTAGGATGACGGGCCAGTAATAGGAATTAGAGTTGGTTAATTACTAAAACGTTCAAATACATCGAGATGGGATCGCAGCTTTTTTATTTTCGCGAATTTAACTTTCTCTTGAACCGGCGTTGATAAATTTAATGGATTCCAAATAAAAACTTAATGGATTTTCTAATAGAATATTTACCCTGCATTTAAAGTTTTTAGAATATTTTTATATGCAATGTAAACTGTACAAATTTACCTTATCTAGATAGATAGACACGTTTTATCTTAATAAATAACGAACTGTCAAGAGTTTAAACCAGTGTTAAAC